AAGGAAGGAAGGAAGGAAGGAAGGAAGGAAGGAAGGAAGGAAGGAGGATTTTATAGTCTGACAATGAAGAACCTATAATCTGACAATTCTAATCTAGGAAATATAACATTAAACATACAAGAGAGCACTATGAATGTCTTTTCCTAGACTGTCCTTACATACCTTTCTACCAGACCAAAAGAATCATATTTCTAATGCATTTCCAGATACAATTTACCAAGTCTATTCTGATTTACTTTAAATGCTACTTAAATTGACAGGCTTGGAAATATTCTTATAACTAATTAATGCCATACCTATACTTTATAAGCCTCTGAGAGTCATCAGACTGTGACAAGGTACAATATATTAAATATATACATAAATAAATATTTTTATACTCTATGATTTATATGAGATATATTAATTTAAATATGGAACTCAAACACGTATTCACAGTAATTTCTATAGTCTTTCATGAAAGTGGCAGCCATTGTTATACAACCTCTAATTAAATCCTCCCACTGAAACAGATTAAATTCAAGAATATTATTTTTTCTGTGACTTAAAATTCTACTAAAAATAATTCCTACTGCAAAATTCCATATTCAGCTGTTAGGATCCATTACTAACAATATAAAACATACTGAACACATGGACACATACCACGTGGTATGGACACATACCAAAACCTATGACTACTAAAAATATCTGAATTTTAGCTTGATCTTTCAATCACTAATTGTATGTTCTCTAAAAATAATAAATATTTACTTTGTAGTCTATACTCAAGTACCAGATAGAGATATTACTACAATGCTAATCTATATTATATTAGTAAGTAATCTTATCAGTGTTAGTGCACTTCAAGGACATCAGCTACAGTAATCTTGAATTCTCAATATATTCTAAAATAACTAGAACCCAAATTTTCTATAAAAGTATCATTCGCTAAAGTGGTCCTGTTAGGACTGATTAGCCCGAGGCTACCAGAGGAATTCTATCTGGTCCATTATTTTTGGAATAAATTAATGGCTTCTGATGGGTGATGATTTAGGATGGTCTAGTATGTCAGGAAGATAAGATCAAATCTACATACAGTCTATTGTCTTTAGGCAGCATGAATACATGGTTCCATTGATCTACCACAGAAGGCTGTACAAGATTTAAAAAATATATATTGTTTGTCTAACATAGAAATGCAACACTTTGCTGCAAGAGGAATGAGGCTTTTCTCTTCTGCCACTTCAAACTGTTTTTCACAGCTATAATCTTTGTGGACTACAATGCGTTCAAATAAATTGTTGTTGATTTCAGACTATACAGTAAGGATTCTTTTTGAAATATGCTATCTTGGGAGCCAAAACCATCAAACTAATTTAGTTTTCCTCAAGATGTATCATATTTTTAAGATTCTCAAAAGTCTGCAGGGTACGAAAAGTTTATCATCAAATAATTTCTTGTGCTATGTACATAAACATTTTTCTAACTATTCTAAACAAAATGGAAATTTCAGTTACATAACTGCTTTTATGTAGCTCATTTAAATAAAACTGCCATATTGTGTGCTTGCTATTTTTCCTGCTTGTTAATAAGTCACAGCATTTCTAAAAGAAAATAACCTGCAGTGTCTGAATACAATAGTATAATAAACTATATAATAATTGTACATGACAAGCTCAGTTTGAGAGAAAAAAATAACAGCAAAGCAGATGGCAACAATGACTAAATGGTTAGTATACTGGCATATCACAATGACTATTGTGCTGAACCAGAATTTTGGTGAATGAAGCTTAAGTATTAGATTATCTTCAAAGATTCCCACGCAACACTGGGCCAGTTACTACTTACTTCTATTATTTCATAAAATGATAAAATAGGAAATAGATAACCTTTTATACTACTTTAATACTTTATACATTATTTAAGTATTATTTATTAGACTTATGTTCCACCTTTCTTCTGGGAGTTCATGATGCTACCCTCCTTCATTTTTTCTATAATTGGCCCAAGTCACCCAGTGAGTGTATGCAGCTAAGGATGAACTTTATTGAGACTCCAAAGTCCTTAATTATACCACACTGGCTCTCAACGGAATATTTGGTATAAATATAGTAATAAATAATTATTGTATTTGGATACGGAGGCAATACTGTTAAGAGTTCCATAGATTCTATAAAGATAATTACCTCCCGTCTTGGTAAAAATTACATTTCATATTAAAACATGCTAATTTATATTGACACTACCCTCATCTGGTTAGCTCTTTAAATGTTTTCAAAACTATTCTGTCCAACATGAATTTAAACTATGTATTTGTCAATTTTTCCTCTAGATATATTCAAAAGCTGCTATTACTGATGCTGTGTTTGAAAAGTTCCAGTTCTAAGTACCGTAAAATACTGGCTTCTGAAAACATCAAAATGTATTGCTTGCCAATTAGCTGTAGTACATATGCTGATTTTTATTTCCATATTTAATCTGTATTGACTGCATTTTGTAGAGCTTTGTCCTGAAAACTGAGCACTCTTTCTTTCAGTATGCTAACAGTGCCTCATCTTTGGCTAGGTTCCATCACCATCATGAGCCAAGAAAAAACTCTTAACCAGAGAAAAGGTTCCACAGGCTTCCCCCCCCCCCCCCC